TCACATGTATGCAATTATTAATACTCTTCTGTGAGGGCATTTGTCATTAGCTAAGTACAAGGAAAAAGTAAGGACATTGGTAGAAACTTTCAATCTCTTGATTGTTTGATATACTATCTTCCAAAATTAGCAGAATCATATTTATTCTGTTGTTGTTATGACAGAGTTCCAAAATGCATTGCTGAGCTCTACCCACTTTGATAATGTTGTTTCAGCATCTCACATAAACCCAGAGTTAAACTGGGTATTTCTAGTCCACTTTTTTCACTATAGAGATGAGGATATGGAAGCTCAGAAGTGTATTGTCTTAAAAATACCTACACAATTTTCCTCTCCTGAAGAAGGCCCAATGTCTGTGACAATTCTGGGCAGTGACACACACATGTTAGAAATCTTTGTTTCCGCTGTTGAGACTTACTTTGACACACAGGCCTTTAAGGTTGGGTTGGTTGATTTGGAGAACTGTATTTGAAAATCCTCCATGAAATCATGAAAATCTTCTCGTGCCTCCAGGTCCTGAAAGGTTAGTGAGTGCTCTGGGTTGTACTCTTGCTTTCATTCCGCTCAATTTTCCTTCATAGTTTCAGTGAAAACATTTGCTTATAAACCTTTTTCTGATCAGGCTGAGGAAGAGCAGATTCTACCTAGACCAATCTTGCCATGTATATAAGAGGAAAGATAGAAGAAAGCAGAAACCCTATATTTAAATGGCTTTAGTAAACTTTTATTTCTCCTTTGAAGAAGCATGTCTGACTTTAGAGTCTAGAACTTCGCAGTCATGTCCCTCATAGTAGGGAGTTTATATTTCACAATTTAACATTATTAGAGGTTTCAATGACTGTTTTTAATTATTTAGGCTTCAAGGAGACAACCTGGCAGAAAGGACAGAAGAGATGTTACAAACACTTCACTCTCCAGACGAAATAATCCCAGATTCTTTGGGTAAGTTTTAAATCTGACAGTATTTATCGTAGTTCTAGTGACACTCAAAGAAAAAAAAAAGAAAGAAAGAAATTAAACCAACCATCTTCCCCTGCACTAAATCACCATAGCTGAAGGTCTCACATTTCCCACCAGCAAACTCCTTCGGGTTGTGTGTGTTAAGGGCAAAGGAGGAAAGGAGGCAAGAAGTGTGGATTCTGCTGTGCAAGCAGCCTCTTAATGCCTGTCCTGTTTAAGGTCCAAACAGATCAACGGTATATTGGCTACTCTTAAAATTACATTACTGATTCCAACTTGGTTTTAGAACTCTGAGTCTGCTGGCTCTTCAGAAAACGGAATTCATTATCTGCCCCTTGAAACTTGCTATATCTCCTACTCCCATTCTCACAGCTTTAGTCCATTCAGCCTTCTTGGGCAGAAATGTCGATATCATACCTGACAATATCACATGTCCTCTCTCTCAGCCACATGTGAAATTGGTGTTGGATCATGTCAATGTCACTTCAGAATTTCCTGTCCAAGTCAGTCTCCTCTTTATTTTCCCTGATAGTGCCTGCTCTATGTTTTCCTCCTCTTTCTCCATCTGGTTTCTCTGCCTTCCTTGCACGATCTCACCACTCTTTACTTTGTCTTTCTAAAAATAAAGGTGCTTATTCCATTCCCATTTTCTATAGTACACAATTCAGACTCCTTAACTTGCATACAAAGTTAATGTCAAAGCACTTCAAAATGTTTTCCAAATAGGTAAGCACATGTCATGCCACTCCAGTGGCATCTAAGGTACATCACTTATTTGTCAGTCAGTGTTCTAGCAGGATGCAGCCGATACATCAAACAGAGATAGAAGGAAAACAATAGGAAAATATTTTCCTTACACCAGGATAGAGAAGAACATCTGAAACAGAACACAAAATTTCCTAGAGATGAAAGAAATAATTAAAAAATTCAACTATGTAAAATTAAGAACTCCTGTTCATCAAAGATGCCAGCAGAGATAGAAGGAAAACAATAGGAAAATATTTTCCTTACACCAGGATAGAGAAGAACATCTTAAAAAGAACACAAAATTTCCTAGAGATAAAAGAAATAATTAAAAAATTCAACTATGTAAAATTAAGAACTCCTGTTCATCAAAGATGCCAGAAAAAAAAGCCATAAAATGGGAAAATATATTTGCAATGTATTTGTCATGACCAGAGATTAATATGAAGAACACTTATAATTTGATAAAGAAAATATTGACAAACCAATAGAAAAATAAGCACCATATAGGAATAGACATTTCACAGAAGAGGCCAATGAGTATATGAAAAATGCTTAACCACCCCAGTAATCAGGGAAAAGCAAATCAGACCATAGTGAGATACTGTTTTATAACCCTTTGTTTGGCATTCATTAAGAAACCTGGCAAAACCAAGTGCTGGTAAAGACATAGATGAAAGCAAACTCATACGCTACAGGTAGGGTAAAAACAATTTTGGAAAACAGTTTTCCATTATCTTAAAATCTTGAGCATTTATGTAACCTAAAACCGAGAAACTTCATATCTAGGTAAGTATCTTAGAGAAACATGTCTCATGTACCATGAAATGTGAACAGTCCTTGTTAGTATGTTCATGGGCAGGGAAATGGATAAATTGTGGAATTGTTGCACTGTAGGAAACTGATTGCATTTCAAATACACACACAGAATGGATAAAATCAGTGGTGTGCTGGTAAATGTTTAACAACTCTTCCCCTGAAAAAAGAATACCCTGATTTGTAGAGACTGATGATTTCCAGGATGTAAAAACTCCCACTGTAGCTGATTTCAAGCAACCCACCTGAAATAGTGATTGGTTCTCCCAGTCTGGTATGAGCAGATTGTAGCTTACCACTGAATGAGACTTAAAAGCATAATGTTGATTGAACAAAAGCAAATCATTTTTATAAAGCTCAAAACAGGCAAATCTAAATAACATGCTCTTTAGGAAAATATGTAAGTGAATAAAACTATATTTAAAGAAGAGAGGGCCGGGCCCATGGCGCACTGGGGAGAGTGCAGCACTGGGAGCGCAGTGACTGCCCGCCGCGGGTTCAGATCCTATATGGGACTGACCGGTGCGCTCGCTGGCTGAGCGCGGTGTGGACGCCACCACACCAAGGGTTGCGTTCCCCTTACCGGTCACGAAAATGACAAAAAAAAAAAGAAGAGAACGAAGTCAGTTTTATAGTGGAAGTCATTCCATGTTCTAAAACAAAATCTACATTTACAGCTAGGTAAACTATGTGCCCTGGGATTGAGTCACTTTTCTTCTTTAATGTAAAATTCTCAATTATCAGAGATAGAGAGAGCTCCTTGATTCAAAAGCTATAATTAGGGATTTTTGCTGTGCTTTTCATTGTTTCCCTGGTCTTGGGTGGCCATTAAGAGCTTGAAAAATTTAATGCTCTGATTTTCTTCCCAGAATACACATTTTATGCAACAGAAAAATCTGTCTTCTTATGCATATGAATCTAAAGGAAAATCTTCAGTAATTCATATGAATCTCTCAAATATTAATAAACATAAGAAGTTGATTTTAAAACCCAGTGGTTTAAAATGCCTTCCTCTTGACTTATTTTTTAATTTGAATAGGAGTTCAAACTCAACTAAGGAAAGTTGACAGTCTCTAGTGTAGATTATTGCCAGTCGCTTCATATGTCTGTCCCTACTGAAGAATGCTTTATAACCCGTAGAAATCCTTGTTCTTAAAATTAATTTAACTCAGTAGACATATAAAAAGTTTTCATCATTTGATTTACATATCTGAAAGTCACTACTCAACCTCCCTTCAATAGATTCAGGCTAATGAATTGCAACTTCTTGCTTGAAACATTGACATGGAAAACTTACCACTGTTTAATAATATACACCCTTCTCTGAACCCTTTCAAAATTTTTCATCCCGTTCAAAGCACAAAAAATGGCACTTAAATTGTGGAGCCCCAAGAGAAGATAGTTGATGGATAAAACAAACACAAAATGATGAGGCAGAAAAAGCACATTAAATATAAATATGTTCCAACAATTAGCTGAATATGCCAAAAGAAATGTAGCTTTATTTGCATAGTTAAGATAACTGCAGCTCTCCCCATTCCTGACATCATTATGACCTTCTAAATGAGAAATATGTGGGTACTTCAAAAAGTTCATGGAAAGATCCATATCATCCTTTGATTCTATTTTTCCACAAACTTTTTGGAGTACCCTCATATATCAGGGAATTAATAAGCAATATGTGACTACAATTTATCCATTTTTAAAAATTAAAATAGATTCTTTACCTGGGACTGAGGAAGTACTGATGGAAGATGGTGAAGAATTTGAGAAAGCATCTAAATTAACAGGACCTGTAAGTATATTCATTTACTTATTTTTTTGATCTCTAAAACTAATGTTTATTGCTAATAGGAAAACAGAAATGAAATAGAAAACAGCATTCTATAAATTAAAGAATATTTAAATGTGCATATAGCATTCCCCACATAGGCACACAGTACTTGCATTAGCAGGTGCCAGCTTTCTTACAGGTTTACAGCAAGGCTGTACCATAAGCTCTTTTAGCAACTGACGAAGAAGACTTAATGATGGAAAAAGTTAAGTTCTGTTATTCCTAGCTACTTGCTTGTGCACACGAACATGCTAAAAGATTATGAGCTGCCGTCTTAAACTTCAGTAAGATTCACTATACATATCTTGATAGAAAAATAAATATTTTGCATATCCTGAAAGTTTACATATTACTTAAGCATACCATTTTTCGTTGTGAAATCCTTGTGCTATTTTTGTTAAACTGTATCTTTTCAATAGAGTGTATTGGAAGAAGATCATTAGGTTTAAGATTTTTAATGCAATTTAAGGTAAAAAGAATAAATGCAAAAAAAACCCAAAACACCCCACCCTGAAATATCTATATAAATTCTAAATCTAAAGTTTGTAAAAGATTCTGAGTTGCTGTAAAAATGACTAATAAAATCTTGCATTATCTTAAGCATAATATCTGGGTTCATATACTTCTATATTCTGTTTTAGCTTGCTAGGTCTGTCATAACAAAGTACCACAGACTGGGTAACCTAAACAACAAAACTTTATTTTCTCACAATTCTGGAAGCAGAAGTCTGAGATCAAAACGCTGGCAGGATTGGTTTTAGATGACTGGCTTCCCCCTGTGTCTTCACGTCCTCTTCCCTTTGTACATATCTGTGTCCTAATCTCTTCTGGTCACCAGTGATATTGGATTAGGCCCTATCCTAATAGCCTCACTTACTTAATTACATCTTTAAAAACCCTATCTCCAAACACATTCTGAGGTATGGGGTTTAGGACTTCAACATATGAATTTTAGGGAGATGCAATTCAACCCATAATACTCTGTGATGAGATTACATGATTTGAAACACTATTTGGATCATAGAATTTGGGTAAGGGTACATGTCTTCCAATAGACTTTATAATGAAATTAATTTAAAAAGTTACTGATGAAATTAATGTATCTTTGCTCATAAGTTACTTTCACATTGCAGTTTCCCTGACACTATTTAAAATTTTGCATTTCCCATTTTTATTTTTCTGTACAATACTTACTACCTTTACTATGCTATGTAATTTACTTATTTGTTTTATTTGTCTGTCTCCTTCCACTATAATATAAGGGCTGTGTGGGCAAGAATTTTTGTACATTTTTTCACTTTTGCATCTGTAGAAGAGTACCTACACTAATTAGGCCTATAATACATATTCATAAATGTTGAATGAATGACATAGTTTACCAATAATTCCTCACCACCAGATAAAAATTATTATACTACTATTTTCCCTTATTATAAAATGGTAGAACTTTAGAAATACAACTATGGAGACCATCTAGTTCAGGATTTCCTGTCCCTTACCTCGGCACTCTGAGCTGCTGTTATTCCTCCATTGAATGCAGGGATATTCATTCATTTTATAGATGAGGAAATAGAAACTCAGAGAAGTTCAGTAACTGGACAGAGGTCTCAAAGCTAACAGAGCAGTGAGGTCAGGAATCGAGCACCAGTCAATTTCTCGTTTACTGTGCATTCTTGATATCTCTAGTGCTTTGTCACTTCTTTTAGAAAGAGTTTATTCTTATTTGTTCATTATTTTCTTTCATTCCTCACAACCTCTTGTAGCTTCATGATTCAAAAGTCCTGGTTCTACTCCTGGAGTGATCACATTAAATCAAATCTTTCTTCCACTTAACTGATCTTCAGATAGTAGAAGCCATCAGCATGTCCCATCTGAGACATACATTTTTCAGCCCAAACACAAATCGTTCTTTCAAACAGTTCTTACATTGTGCAGTTTCCACAGATTTCAGAACCTCTGATGCTTTCTCTGAATGTATTCTTGTTTGCCAGGTCCCCTGTAAAGTGTGAGTTACGCCACAGCTAAATCCATGGTGCCAAAATAATGTTCCATATCAGAGACTACAATGTGCTTAGAACAAACTTTATTTTTGAATTATAACCTAGGGTTGCAATAACTTTATTTTTTTTAAAGAAATGTTCTGCCATTTATAAACTTCAATATGTCTCCATAATCTCATGGCGATAAAAACATGTCGTTCAAGTTGTGATAACTTGTCATTCATCACTTTCTGCAAAGGTTTGTTTTATCAGCTGTGAATCCACCCAAGTCCATAATTATCTTTCATGCCTGAAAAGATACCATTAGATTCTTTTTGTAATCATTTTCTAAAATTAAGATATATCCTGTCCGTAGAATCTGGCTTGCTTAATAATACCTAGTGACCCAAAGAATAAAAAGAAAGACTTACTTGATCAAATTTTTCTATGTGATTTCAAGCTGTCTCTTAGATATTTTTGCTTTCTTTCCACAGGGATGACACAGTGCTTTCTCAGTGCAAAAATCTGTTGTAGGTGAATTTTGTTTGTTTTCATTTATCGTTCACTGGATTTTGAATTCTTGAAAACTGTGCAGTTCCATTTAATGTGAAATTACCCATTTGAACTTCATTGGAAATAGGTGAAATAAAAGCAGTATGTGGACAAATATGAATATTAAGACCCTAAATAGGAAATTTCTAGATAGTATCTGCTTTATATAAGAGGTAAGTATGGATTAAAAGTTTATTATGTTAGAATAATGATATTTTAGATACGAATTCCCTAAAACACATTTCTGTAATATTTCTTGGGATAGTATTTTTAGTAAATCAAGAAGAAAATTGTGACTTTCAATATTAATGGAAAATTGGAACAAAACAACTTTTTTCTTTATTATTGTAGGAAACACAAAATACTTCAAAGCAAGTTTTGAGTCATATCCTGCAAAAATATAAGCATGCCACAAAATGTTAAAAACCATTTAGAGTAGTTTCAACACATGCTGTCTCTATTTGCTAAGTTTCCATGTTGGGTATTGTATATTAATAGGTGGATAACAGACTTTTGGAAACTTCTTTTCCAAAAGTTTTGGCTTAACCTGTGCTTGGGATATTTCCGGAATATTTTGTGAATATTTAAGTGGGGTAAAGGCAACATTTCGATTTAGATTTTTATCCTTTCCCAAATAAGCAAGTCATTCTTCTGGAATTTCCCTTTCTCCCTCTTTCTATGTTCTGGAATGCCTCTTAGCATATATGCAGCCTGTGCAGATTAAAGCTGGATTTGTCAAGTAAATCCGTATATTAAAAATGAACCGACAAAAGAAAATCTTACAAAAATACCAAGCAGCAGGTATTGTCTATGACCTTTTAGCTTCATAAGTATAATATATAATTTTTTTAGATCAACGATTAACGAAGACAATACCAATGATTTATGATTTCTGAATTTCACGATTCTTATTTTATTTTGTTTTTTGAATATTAAATAAACATATGAACATAAAGGAAAGATGGAAAGATAAGAAAGACATTTGATATTCAATATTTCACTGACTTCTTTTTCACTTATAAAATTTTTATTTATTTTATTCACTGTTCAGTCTTGACTAGCTCATACATAAAAGCTTTATACATCTGGTCATCATTTCTTACTTGAAGTAGAAGAAAAATTAAGAGAAGGACTCCTGTAGGGAAAGGTTTCCTAAACTATCTAGGAGTTACTAAAAGTTATATTTTTAGTATGTTTTCCTTCTGAAGAGTTTTATCTACTTGGGGAGATATGTAAAATTAACTGGAACGATAGTAGTCATGATGTCACATGTTTGTATAGCACTTTTTAATTATTAAGCACTTCACATACTAATGGTCTCTGAATTTCACAATTCCTGTGACTTTTCACCTTGTACTTGCTAACCCTTCTGTTAAGTAAGTAGTACTTACCTAGTTTTACATAAACATACGGAGGTTCCAAAAGATCTTGTGATTTGTCCTAGGTCACATAGACAGGGCAGGACTAAAACTCATATTTCCCAGTGCCCAAACTGTCCTTCACAGAACATGCCAAGAGCCATACAGTTACTACTTATTAGCAAATGTGTATTTAGGCACTGAATCACTGTTAAATAGCACATACAATGGAAAAGGGATAAGAATTAGGCCATTATCAGTAGCCGATATCAAGATAGAATTAGTCATTAGATTAAGTTGGTAGAGAAGAAGCCAGAGTTTGAGGGACTGGATCATAACAGGTAGGATTTTATGACAGAAAGGGATCAGTAAGTTTGGAGCATAAGAGATTAGTTTTGCTCGGGTCCTTCATAATTGGAGGAGTCTGAGAAACCGAGGCAACGTGACGAGAAGGGGATCCTGAAATTGGGAAAGTACCAAGAAAAAAGCAAAGCAAAAGGAAAGCAATATTTCTAAGAAAACACTTCCTGTAGCAAACTTGACCCAAAAGTTAAAGACTATGATGACTCTGGAATCACTTAGATGAAGTATCTACTTAGCTAGATTGGAAATGTAGTTTGATTACTTTTAAGCTTGCCCAATATTGTACTTCTTTGATTGGTGAGTAAAATATTCTTTTTATTAATGCTGTAGGACAGTGGCTCCCCCCTCACCACACACACACCCCTGCCCCACTCTTCCCTCATTTTTTCTACTTCTCACAAGCAGTGAGGTGTGAGGTTTGGACCTGACTGTCAGAAGTTGGAATTTACCACACATGCCACATTTTCCCAAGATCTCATAGATATGAAATTATAAAAGATAAATTTGGATAAGACGTATATATAATATTGTCTCGTTAACTGTAACTGGAAGACATGAAGATAAAAAAAAAATATGTATATATCTCCTGAGCACATATAACTAACATAATTTCAGAGTTTTGACAGCAAGGACATTGTTCCTAAATGAATTTCTTTCTACTGGAAAGAATTAAGTGAGTTGCTTTTTGTTAATTTTTAAAAATTTTATT